TTATCGCAACAAGAATGCCTTGCTGAGTTACGGCAATGAAGCGCCACATCAGTCGACAATTACCCGTTTTTCTGAAGAATTCAAACGTGGACGGGTGAGTCTTAGCGACGATCCCAGGGTGGGTGCACCAAAAACGGCAGACACCCAGGAAAACGGCGATGCTGTGCGCAAACTCATCATTGAAGATAGACATGTGACATATCGCGAGATTGAGGCGTCCTTGAAGATCTCAATGACCTCAATTCAAAAAAATTTACATGAAGAATTAGGAGCAAGAAAATTAGTTTCTCGTTGGATACCCCACCTGTTGACTGAAGAGCAGAAAGCAGCAAGGGCTAATTGGTGTCAAAAAACGCTTGACCGTTTCAATTTTGGAAACTCAAAAAATGTGTACAGCATTGTTAGTGGTGATGAATCGTGGATTTACTGTTATGAACCAGAAAATAAACGACAGTCGGCTGTTTGGGTGTTCCAAGGTGAAGAAAGCCAACAAAAGTCTTCCGTTCTCGAAGTGTTTCGAAAAAGGTGGTCGCGACAATTGTGTCAAAAGCAGGTCATATTGTAACAATTCCTCTTAATGAGCAAAGAACTGTTACTGCGGATTGCTATACCACCATTTGTTTGCCAAAAGTCATCACCGAGCTTCGAAAAATCAACCCCGAAAGAAGAATCATCTTCCACCAAGTCAATGCAAGCTCGCACACAGCCCAAAAACAAGGCAGTATTTAACGGAAGAAAACGTGGAATTATTGGACCATGTTCCATATAGTCCCGATCTAAGTCCTAACGATTTCTTTACTTTCCCAAAAATTAAAAACAGACTGCGTGGTCAAAGGTTCCAGTCACCAGAAGAAGCAGTTGACGCATTCAAAAATGCCGTTTTGGATCTGCCAGCAAACTAATGGAATAAGTGCTTCGAAAATTGGTTCGAGCGCATGCAGATGTGTATTGATCTTCGTGGAGAATACTTCGAAAGACAATAAAGCCATTTAAAACTACCTACCGTGTTGTTTTAATTCCATATGCAAAACTTAAAAGGCAGCCCTCGTATAATTGTGACATGGAGAAGGTCTCATGATGATGCCAGGAAGTGGCCATGGGAACCCTTCAAATAGAGCCTCGCTTGATTCCTACTGACACCTACTCTAGTCTAACAGTTTTATAATTACTATGTCAAATTTCAATTTTTTACATTAGGTAGTTCGCTAAAATGTAGATTCAATCAATTGGGCAAGGATACTTGATAGATATAAGTACGTCACCCGTATTTACAAAATTCGTTATATTTTCTTTTATACAGGGTGGCCAATATATAACTGACTGATTTAAATTGCGAGCCATTTCTGATACACGCTTTTCAGTAGGTGTCGCCGTAGTAGTTGTTTAAAGCACATGTGTCCAATTCATCATGGAGCGCTACATGATTTATATATGATGATGATATTGTTAAAACGTTTTACTTAAATGAGTCGATTATTGCAACGATTCGGAAGCTATCGAGGTTTCAGTCGAAATAATGTGCCCAGTGCCAAGACCATTCATCAGTTGGTGTGACAGTTTGAACAAACAGGTGAAGTTAGACTTGTCAAGGTGTTGGAACTGTTCGTACTCCGGAAAATATCGAGAGAGTTCGTGAAAGTGTAGTGGAGCGCCCTGAGACGTCTACCAGACATCGTTCTCAAGAACTGGGTATTCGTCGCACGTCATTATGTACTATTTTAAAAAAAGAGTTGCATTTGCGGCCAGGACGGAGCAACTTGTCACACAGCTAGGGAAACAATGAACCTTTTGCGAACAATATTTCCGGGACGTTAAATTTCTCGATTTGGTGACGTTAACTGGCCACCAAGGTCACCGAATTTAACGGCTCCTAACTTTTTTATGGGGATTTTTGAAAAATAGGCTTTATGCCAAAAAACCAAATACTCTAGAGCAGCTGAAAAACAATATTACGGAAGCGGTTGAAAATATTCCTCTCAAAACCTACCAATGTATATCCGCCACCCTGCACTTCGTATGCATTTGATCTTGAAATATGCATACATATAAATAATAATTATGTTTGCTTATGTCAATAAAACACTAACAAAGGCCTTATGAGAGTCATTCTCGTTTATTTCTCACTGTTTTATTTATATTATCATTTTAAACTTGCATTATGTTATTCAATTTCTCAGAAAGTTAACTAACTTTTTTATGTACAAACTCACTATTTTCTCATTACTTTTTTTGAAAATCTCACTTTTCTCACGTAAATTCATGCTTCGGGCAGCCATTACCAAATCTGGTGATCTTTACCCGTTTATATCCTTTACATATTACATGACTTCCATGACCCCTGCCCCTGGATCTGCGCTTGCTTGGGAGCATATAAACATGCAAAAAATTTGCATATGCCTTGCTAAAATATTTACCCGAAATGGGACACTGAAACGCCAAAAGACGAAGTTTAGTAGTAGTAGTAGAAAGATTTATTTAGCACATTTGGCTACATAAACAGAACAATTGTAAACAACTTAGAACTAGTAAATTCAAGCCATATGGTGTATGATGTAAATGCTGGGCAACCTATAATTGTAGATTTAACAAGTGATTTCTCAATTTTACTTTAAAATTTGTCAAAGTTTTCTGGTCTTTTATCTCCCGAGTATAATTTATTATATTCAATCAACCCTTGATGGAATACAGATTTGTAGCATATGTTATACTTTTTGGTCATTAAATGGAAGTCATCTTTATTTCTGGTATTATGTAAATGATGGTCGACATTTGATGATGTTAAATTAGTTAGACTTGATGGAAATATATTATTTTTTACTTTGAGCCATTTTAATTTGCTAAGCATTTGCCTAATTGGAGTATATTTATCTTTATTTAGTATTATTCTCATGCACTTATTTTGTAAAATTTGCAGTCTTTCAAAAATGGAATTATTTGCTAAATATAGAATAGTCGAACAGTACAAGAAATTTGGAAGAATGATGGTATTATAGATAATTTTTCTGCTATATGAACTCAGACATCTAGAAACTCTCGATAAATATCCCACTTTACTACTAATCTTATTTATAACTTTTTCATAATGAATATCAAAAATTAATCGAGTCAACAAAAACTCCCAGGTATTTAAAATTTTCTACGAATTCAATATCTTTGGTCTATCTTTATTTTATTAATTTTGAATTGTGGATGATTTAAATCAAACTTGCTCCAAAAAAAGAAGAATATTTGTAGAAGTGACACAAGATTAACTGAATGCAGACCATCTTTCCAAGAAAAAATATTAAACGTTGAATTGAAAATCTCAAAAACTATGAGACTTACAAAATCAGACTTACAAAATCAATTTTTTGACTTATAACGCGACCTATTTGGAGTTGCAGACTCATTCCTTCATTCCTCATATAAAAAAGTATTTTCAAATATTTTGAAGTGTGAATGCGAAGATGGATTTATACAACGTTATGGTAATCATTAGTGAAATGGCTAATAGGGGAGGTCAAAACAAGTCAAAAAGTTCATATGACCCATGGTCCAAAAGTCAATAGATTTTTGTCTAAATGGCCTTATAGTCTACAACTTTAAGTGGTTTATACCGACCACAATCACCACAATCTTACTAATTCTTATAATCCAATTTAAAACGTTTTTAAATTGGGTAATCAACAAATAAATGGCATTAAATTTTTCTAAGTTAAGCCAAAATTTGTAGTCAGTAAGTTTCATTTAATTAAACATTTAAAACACACATGACCACAGCGCGTCGGTCATTCATCACTCTTATCGGACCGGCAATCGATCGCAAACGGTAACAGTGGTTAGTTATTGTTCGCGTACGTCGTCGTGTTTATTTACAATTTACAACTCGTGAAAGACAGGTTACTGTAGAGCAGGAGGAACAAATTCTAAATATCGTTGAAATCAATGCAGATATCAGTACTCGGGAATTAAGCCGTCGCGTAGGACGATCGCATACCATAGTCCATAGAATTCTACGGGATTTGCTTTATCCCTACCATGTAAAACGAGTGCAGGCCTTGTTACCAGAAGACTATCCTCGCAGACTAACATTCTGTCAGTGGTTTTTGCACAAAAACATTGAAAATCCGGATTTTTTTAAAAACATTCTAGCGACGGACGAATGCAATTTTACGCGAGACGGGATATTAAATTTCCATAATACTCACACGCGATCCCAAGGAAATCCTCATACCATTCGTGAAGGTCATTTCCAACAACGTTTTAAAATAAATATTTGGGCGGGTATTCTTGACGATCAGGTAATTGGCCCTTTCGAGTTACCCCCAAAGTTGGCAGGGAAGTGATACCTTAGCTTTCTAGCCAATAACCTACCAGAACTTTTGGAACAGACCTTAGACAACATGCCATTACAACGCAGACAGGATTTGTGGTTTCTTCATGACGGGGCACCACCACACATTTTTAGAGGCGTCATTTAGTATTTGAATGCACATTATCCAAATCGCTAGATCGGTCGAAGTGCTCCTGATCCTCGAAAATGGCCAGCAAGATCTCCTGACCTCAATCCGATGGATTTCTGGTATTGGGGAGAACTTAAAGGGATAGTTTATGAGGCTGGACCAATAACAACTGAAGCACAACTTCTATTACGTTCAATAAACTTTCACACACCAGGTGAAGCGCTGAGACAGTTAGTGGTAAATCCGTTTTTTTAATTGTTTGCATTTTACGAGTACATTATCAAATAATGAAATAATACCTAAGAGCCAAAAATAACAAACTCCATCTTTATTTACACTGCGTTCCGTCGTAATTTGCGGCATTGCGGCGTTGTCAGGTTTTATTTTACTTTAAGTCGCTTTTCTCTAAAAAAATGCCGTTTTGACCCCCATGTTATATGAATCTTTTTGCTGCTTTTAACCCCCTCTATCACCCATTTAAATAATGACTATCATTTAAAAATACGATTGTCACCAATAATTTACTAATTGGCTATAAATGTTGTTCTTTTTAACTAGGTAACGAGTATGTCATAGTATCCTGGGCAACTGGCGAACAGTGTGCAATGCAACCACTCGTGATTCACGCAACTATAGTTTTGCTGACTTACGGACCTCTAGATGATTTTGAGCCATTCAATTTGTTACTTCACAGTTGGTTCCCAGAAAATATGGAACATCCCAGAGCGTACAGTCCTGAGACCTCTGAAACTACGTCATATTTACCCGATTGGATGAAGCTTCGCATGATCAGGTATGTACATACGCTACATTTCTATACCATGGTTTGACAAATTCCGGTGAATGTCAGGAAACATTCGACGTCCAGATACTATGCGATTGGGAAATCTTCTTTGATATTCTCTTACGGCTGCCAATGAACTGCCATTGCAAAACCCGTACACAAAATGCATGACAGTCAGTTGACTGTAAATCTTGGCATTTTAAATCGATTTAATAAAAATGTTGACTTTAATCTAGTAATTTTACACTGCTAACAATGTCAGCTTAACGTCAAATTAAGTCATAACAAATCAAAACAACTTTTGTTTGCAGTCATGGCTAACTATGTATAATCATCAATTCATTTAAATTCGCAGTACATTTCCTATCATGTGACAAATTTTTTAGTTCAATTTTATTCAAAAATGGCACAATTTATCGATATTCAATAAGAGTACCTTTTTTATGTAGAAAACCCTAAATTTTCAAATTCTAAAATTGAATTTCAAAAATAGAATCACACAAAAATTTTGGGGCTAAAATAACCTGAGTCCGTCGCTGCTACATACGCTTCCAAACAAAGCTGTCTAAAATTATTAATATTTTTAAATCCAGCATAAAAAAACTAGGCTAGAATACCAAATTTTATGTCTTTATCTCAACACGTATCGGAAATACAGCAGACGCTCGATAATGTAAACTAATTTAATCCAAGTATGGTTCACATTATCGAAATGTTTACATTAGCGAACGTGATTTATATATTTGATTTATTAAAAGAAACGTTTAATACATACTATTTATAACAAAATAAACAAATATTCTAACAGCGATAAGTATTTTTTTAATTAGAAGAAAAATAATTAACAATTTTTGTCTGCGTAAATTTGCGCTTAGCATTGTCTTCCAATGCCTGCGCCCGTAATTTACGAAGAACTAAAATATCCGTGTATGAAACTTCTTTTCTTTCAGCCCAATCTAAAGCTTGGTTAAAAACTTGTATAGCTTGCGCTTGACTTCAATGGGATCGTTCTCATCATCTTCACTGTCCATATCCTCCTCCTTATCAGCATCATTCGTCTGCTTATCTTCGTTCCATAAATTAATATCAGCAGGAGTACAAACAATGTTGGGATTCACTGTTTTCAATAAATCAACAACATCCAATGACACACTAATAACATTATCATTATTGGATCGCAAACGTTCTCTAATTACGCTTAAGGGGACATCGTCTTCTTCATCATCTTCATTATTGGTACAAAAGAGATTGTTCCAACATTTTTGAATAGTTTGCTGGTTAAGTTCATTCCAGGCCATATGTAAATCTAAAACAGCTTCTCGTAATGTTACTTTTTTTAAAGCCTCAGATAAGTTTTCAGGATTCTTTGATAAGACAGACGAAACTAGAAACTTCCTATAGTATAGTTTGGTGAGTCTTATTATATTCTGGTCCATCGGTTGAATTAACGGTGTTACGTTGGGCGTACATGACGAAAATTGACCCATACCTGCTCCTCAGTTGTTGCTCGGGAGGATGACTTGGTGCATTATCCAATAGTAACAACGCTTTTATTGGAAGCTTCTGTCGTTCTAGGAAACCTTTTACCTACAAATAGAAAACACATCTTCAAATTTTATGAATAGAGCATTTGTGATAATTGATTGTCATACCTGAGGGACAAAGCACCTGTGGAACCATTTCAGGAATATACTGCTAGTCATCCAAGCGGTTTTTGAACAGTCATAATCAACAGGGATATTAACATTTTTAAATGAGCGCGGATTTTTTGCTTTCCCAATTACCAGTGGCTTTATTTTGTGTGAACCATTAGCATTAGTGCAGGCTAGAAACGTTATTCGTTGTTTCTCCGGCTTTCTTCCCGGGGCAGATTTTTCAAATGATGCAGCATAGGTTTTCTCTGGTAACATTTTCCAATAAAGGCCACTTTCATCTGCGTTGTAAATTTGTTCCATTCTTAAATCTAGCTCGGTAATTGTTTTCATCAATTTTTCTTTGAATGGTTGCACTAATTGTGGTTGTGCTGGTAATTTTTCACCAGATATAGACAGCACTTTCTTTTATAGGATGTGGATGCCATAGTCGTAAAATATATTAACGCGTGCAATGTATTCACTTGAGTTCAAAAATGAAATACATACGTACGTATAAGCGTATCCTAAACGATCATACGACTGACCGAGTTTGTCGTATTTTATCGCAGAGGTGAATCCCCTACACTCTACATCATAAATCGGGGACTCCCCGACGCCCGATATAAATCATCGAGGCTTCAGCATTTTACCGTCGCGCTGTTTCCGTGCGCCGAGAGTCGTTTACGTTATCGAGCGTACACATTGTTTACGTTATCGCGCGTTCCGTTTGATCCTATAGAACGAAGTTTGTGTTTACATTAGCGCAAGTTTTCATTATCCCGTGTTTACGTTATGGAGCGTCTGCTGTATTAAGGAAAAACCATCTTCAGGGGAGCCCCTTTAAAAGACCGTAGCGCCCTTAGGGGACGTTTGTCGACCTATGTTTATATAAACTTTTCTTCCTATTTTAAGCTCTAGAAACCGCTGGTAGAATATTGCACACTTTTTTCGGGACACCCTGTGTAATCAAATAAATCGTTCCTGTTTTTTCCTTGTCAGTTGTCTTTTAACATGCCCCCAGAGATGTTCTATAGGGTTTAGGACCGGGGATTGCGAAGCCCATGTAAGAACACTAACATTTTTTAGTCTTAACCAGTCCGTTACGAATTCTGAGGTATGCTTGCTGTCAATACCTTGCTGGAAGGTCCATCGTAAAGACATTTCTTCCTCAGCAAAAGGGAGCATGTGTTCACTAAGAATATCTTTGTATAGTTTTTGATCCATTTTCCCAAGAATTTTAACAACTGGACCCGTTCCAGAACAGCCCCAAACCATGATGTTGCCTCCACCGTGCTTAACTGTTGGCAACTGATACTTTCTGTCGAATATTTTTTGTATTTGACGCCTCACATATGCCGTACGGTCAGATCCAAACAAGTTAAATTTGCTTTCATCACTCCAGAAAACTATATTCCATTGTTGTTCTGTCCAAGTTAGATGAGTTTTAACAAATTCAAGACGAGCAATACAATTTTTTTTTGTTGAAATGAGACGCTTTTGCACTGGACGCCTACCAAAAAGCCCAAAATCCACCAAGCGTCTCTGTACCATTCTGACAGAAATATTTTGGGTACCCTCTTCTACTATTCTTTTGAAAATCTGTGTGACTGGCATTCGATGATCTTCAAACAAACGTTTAATGTAGCGATCTAAAACATAATTTTTTTGTCTTCCGCACCTAGGCCGCGTTGCTGTTAATCCGTACTGTTGATATTTACTAATAATTTTCGAAATCGTCCCTTTGTTCATTTTTAATCTTTGAGAAATGTCAACATTTCTGACACCACTTCTAAATAATTCAATTACTTTGTCTCTTAAATCTTTTGAAAATTCTTTTACTTTTGCCATTCTCACTGATGTTTATATTCACCGTACGCAATATCAGAGTATCGCAGAATGAATAAATATGGTAAAACTGAAATGTTTCCATACTTTTGTCGTTACAAAAACTGTGGTATTTAAAAACACGCGTGTTTTTATTTTCAGAGAATTTGAAGATTGATAAGATAAACTTTGTATTAGTACTGAAGCCACAGGTGGACTTTAATATTTAAACTATCTGCTCCTTCGCAATTTTAATTTATGTATATGAAATAGTTCATAATAATGTTTCCAAACTTTTGTCCGCTAATGTAATGGGTGATTTTTTTGCTAGTATCTTTTTGGCAACACTGTTTTTGACAGATGACGCGTGAATCGTGTCTTGTGTCATTGTCAAACTTGTTCAGTTTGGTCTATAATTTAACCATGAATCGACTTACGAACGAACAACGCTTGCAAATTATTGAATTTTACTATCAAAATTCATGCTCGGTTAAGAGAGTGCATCGAGCACTGCTTTCAATTCATGGGCAATTTGGTGGGCCTACTGAGGGAGCTATTCGGAAGTTTGTGACTAAATTTCGAATCCAGTTTACATTATTGGGCATTAAACCACCAACACGCAGACGTAGAGTGAGAACTGAAGAAAATATTGCGGCTGTATCCGCCAGTGTTAGTGATGACCGTGAAATGTTCGATTTGCCGCCGTTCGCAGCAATTGGGCCTCTGTTACTCCACTACGTGGAAAATTTTGCCACAGGATTTGGGTGTAAAACCTTATAAGATACAGCTGGTGCAAGAATTGAAGCCACACGACCTCCCACAACGTTTCCAATTTGGTGAATGGGCGCTGGCAAAGTTGGAGGAAGATCCACATTTTTATCGAAAAATTGTGTTCAGCGACGAAGCTCATTTCTGGTTGAATGGGTACGTTAACAAGCAAAATTGCTGCATCTGGAGTGAAGACCAGCCAGAAGCATTGCAAGAGCTACCAATGCATCCCGAAAAAATCACTGTTTGGTGTGGATTATGGACCGGTGGCATCATCGGGCCGTACTTCTTCAAAGACGGCAATGGCCGGAACGTAACTGTGAATAGCGAGCACTACCGTGCGATGATAACAAACTTTTCTTGCCCAAAATGGAAGAGCTGGACTTGGCTGACATGTGGTTTCAACAAGACGGTGCCACATGCCACACTGCACACGAAACAATGGCCCTATTGAGAGGCGAGTTCGGTGAACAGTTTACCTCACGTTTGGGGCCCGTCAATTGGCCGCCTAGATCGTGTGATTCAACGCCGTTGGACTATTTCTTGTAGGGCCATGTTAAGGCTAATGTCTACAGGGATAAACCAGCAACGATTGACGCACTGGAAGCCAATATTGAAGCATTTATTCGTGAGATACCGACCGATATGTTGGAGAGAGTGTGCCAAAATTGGACCTTGTGCATGGGCCATCTAAAGCGGAGCCGCGGCCAACATTTACATGAAATAATCTTCAAACATTAAATTATATCGATAGTTCTATCGACTCAAATAAAGATTTAATCATTTTTTCAAATTTTTTGTGTGTTTTTTTTTAAAAGCAAATCCTATATCTCTTAAAACATCACGCGATATATTATCCGTTTAAATTTGGCATTATAATATTCAATTTCTCAGAAAATCAACTTAACTTTTAATGAATAAATTCACTATTTCTCACTATCTTCTCACTACTTTTTTTTGAAAATCTAACTTTTCTCGCTTATATTCATGCTTTGAGCCGCCAGCATCCCTGGAATAGAATACATACTAATCGAAATAACATCGTTGATTTTCTCTTACAGATCCAACGTGTCACGTCTAGTGGATGCTGCGATAGAAAAACTGGAACCTCCAAAGTTAGTTCTGTTCATCCAATCGTTCGGTATACCGACGAGTTCTATCAGCAAACTGCTCCACACCTTGGACAAAGCTACGATTTTGGATCCGAAATTAGTTGTGGACTCCGTTTTGGACAAAACGTACATGATCCAATTAGTCGAAGTGCAAAACAAACGAGGAGCAGTTGGTGGAGAAACCTTTGTTAAAGCTATCGGTTAGTCGTTTAGTCAATTCAATTGGAAATCGGGGGTTTCTGGGGATGATGAATACGACTGATACAATTTAATGTTACCCACATTGCGGCTTTAACAATACAAACACAAACGTGTTACATAAAACAAGTATGCATAAAAGAAGAGAAAAAAGACAGAATATGACTATACAGGGTGTTTCAGAACTAAGGGTAACAGTAGAAAACATTTGAGTATAGGGACCCATGTACGGAAAAGTGTAACTACTGCCCTAAGACGCGTTAAAATTTAGAAAGACGATGAATTGCCTAAATAGGATTTAATGCATTCAATTTTAACCTTTTGTACATGATATCATCACAACAATTGTTCAAAATCTCTTCCTCCAACCTGCATACACCGATTTAAACGTCGCACATGACTAAACTTGACTAAAAATTTGATACTCGTTTTGATTGATTTGAAATGCTGCTGTAATTCGTCCAATTAAGTCTTGCTCTGTTTCTACTGGAGGTTCGTAAACCAAAGACTTACATGTCCCCCACAGAAAAAATCTAGCGACGTCAAATCGGGTGATCTAGGAGGCCAAGAAACTGCTCCACCTCTGGCAATCCAACGGTACCCAAACCGTTGAGCCAAATACTCACGTACTTGTACAGCAAAGTGAGCCGGCGCTCCATCATGCTGAAACCACATTTGCTGTCAAACGTTCAATGGAACATTTTCAAGAAGTTTTGGAAGAACTTCCCCCAAGAAACGCCGGTAAATATGTCCTGTTAACCGTTCCGGTTGAAGGTATGGCCCAATCAAATAATCATCAACAAGCCTCCCGATACGTTGACAGACCAACGTTGCTGATGTTTTCTAGGAAAAATTGCATGGGTATTTTCTTTGTTCCAAACGTGGCAGTTCCTTCCATTAAAAATGCGGTCTCTTGTGAAAGAGGCTTCATCGGTTCATAAAACATAGCGTAAAAAATTTGGTTGTACAGCGATTTGATGAAGAAGCCATTGACAAAATTGAACTCTAGGATGATAATCGGCTGCGGTCAATCCTTGAACTTTCTGGAAGTGGTAAGGATAAAGTTGTTGCTCGTGTAGCACCCGCCAGACGGAAGCGTTCCTCGTATTCATATCCTCAGCAATGTGAACGTGTGCTACTTGATGGTTCGTCGGCAACTCGCTGAAGGACCTCTTCATCAAATTCGACCATTTTTACGGTTCGAGCAACACCAGTATCATGCTTGTTGGTTTTAAACATGCCTGAATAGCATTAAACTTTTTGTATCCCGAATGCTGTCGTTCGGGATAACGTTCTTGATACAACCGCGCTGCTGTTCGTGCATTGCAGCTTGTTGCTCCGTATGCCAAATGCATATCCGCCAATTCTTAATTGGTAAAGTTTTCCATTAGCAACAATTAATTTTTGTTAACTTCTTGCAAACTTCACAAATACGATAGCACGACTAAGGCGAGATGGAATGCAGCTACAGAAAACAATCTCTGTTATCTTTTTTAAAGATAACAACACACAAGCGCCGGATATAGGTCCCTATATTCAAATGTTTTCTACTGTTACACTGAATAACCCCTACAAGTTTGATCCTCTAGTTCTGAAACACCCTGTAGTTTATTTTTCAACATACCTTTAAAATGCTCTAATTACCGGCTATACTCTCGCTATTTCATGTCATAACTTTTTTGCTAGTACCGTTCTATTATTTCTCATTGAAATGTTGCATACACTTTCAAAATTTCACAGCGTATCATTGAATTATCTAAGAAAAAAAGTAAACAGTTTAAAATCAAATAACAACTGTGCCGAAATGACTACTAAAAACGTGCTGAAAAACTGTTTCGAAATTTTGGGATATCCTGTATTAAATTGGATCAATTGTTCACTGAGAAGCAGTTCTTTCCATGAAAATTTTAAATGCTCTACAATAACACCAGTTCCCAAAATAAAAAATTCTAAAAGATGCAGCGATATGAGACCAGTAAATGTGTTACCAGACATTGAAAAATTATTAGAGTCCATAGTGCATGACCAATTAATGCAGTTTATAGAAGAAAACAAAATTTTAGTGGAGGCGCAAGCAGGCTTTCGAAAAAAATATTCCACAGAAACAGCTTTCCAGTTGGTATCTGAGAATTGGAGAAGAGCCATAGACTCAGAAGAAGTTGTCATAGCAGTATTTTTGGATTTGAAGAGGGCATTTGAAACGATTGATAGAGATATTTTGTTAGGTAAATTGAAGGCATATGGTGTAACAGGAAGTGTTTTAGATTGGTTTAGAAATTATTTGTCTAAAAGGATGCAAGTTACAAAAGTTAATTACACTATTTCATCAAAAATTGAAAATACGTTGGGTGTTCCACAGGGCAGTATCCTGGGACCACTTCTTTTTATTTTATACATAAATGATTTACCTGCCATAGTCAAAAAATGCAAAATTCAGATTTTCGCCGATGACACTATGATTTATATAAGTACTAAAAATATTCAGTCTGGTATCTCTTATATAAATGAAGACTTGAAGCTTGTCTCAAAATGGTTAGCATCTAACAGACTAAAATTAAATGCAAGTAAAACGAAAGCCTTGTTAATCGGAAAAAAACAATGTACAAATGTTCAACTGAATATTGATGGTGAAGATATTGAATTCGTAGAAAATTTTAAATACCTGGGAGTTTTTGTTGACTCTCGATTAATTTTTGATATTCATTATGAAAAAGTTATAAATAAGATTAGTAGTAAAGTGGGATATTTATCGAGAGTTTCTGGATGTCTGAGTTCATATAGCAGAAAAATTATCTATAATACCATCATTCTTCCAAATTTCTTGTACTGTTCGACTATTCTATATTTAGCAAATAATTCCATTTTTGGAAGACTGCAAATTTTACAAAATAAGTGCATGAGAATAATACTAAATAAAGATAAATATACTCCAATTAGGCAAATGCTTAGCAAATTAAAATGGCTCAATGTAAAAAATTTTATCAAATATCTTGTAATGATATTCATTTATAAAGTAAAAAATAATATATTTCCATCAAGTCTAACTAATTTAACATCATCAAATGTCGACCATCATTTACATAATACCAGAAATAAAGATGACTTCCATTTAATGACCAAAAAGTATAACATATGCTACAAATCTGTATTCCATCAAGGGTTGATTGAATATAATAAATTATACTCGGAGATAAAAGACCAGAAAACTTTGACAAAATTTAAAGTAAAATTGAGAAATCACTTGTTAAATCTACAATTATAGGTTGCTCAGCATTTACATCATACACCATATGGCTTGAATTTACTAGTTCTAAGTTGTTTGCAATTGTTCTGTTTATGTAGCCAAATGTGCTAAATAAATCTTTCTACTACTACTACTACTAATACTTGCACAGTGTGTGAAAACATAAAGTTCGCCAATGTTGGCCTGAAAAATAAGTATGAAATTCCATTACAGTTAATTAATCTCAAAATACTCTTGAAGGTCTTGTAGAGCAAGGTTCTAACTTTAACTTTAATTTAGATACTTGAAAAATTACATTTTTATCCGAATTTTCAAGCATTTTATAAATTAGAATGTTTTTCCAGAACATTTTTTCAGGTTTTTTTGGATCATTCCGCACAGAAAAGTCTTCATTAACTTATCTCTAAAGGTGACCTTTTCCGAGTTATAAGCCATAAAAATGGGTGTATTCATTTATTAAAAACTAGGTGAAAATTATAATTTTTATGGTGCCAAGTATGTAAAAGTTAAAACCTTGCTCCACAAGACCCGAAGAGTACTTTGGGGCTTGAATCGATTTATAACTTTGTTGTTTTGGATAAAATTGGCGAACACTAGGGTTATAGCTTGTAACTTACGCCTTCTAGATATCATTTCGAAAAAAAGAATATTCATATTCCTCATTTGCAGAACCTCGAGATTTCCAACTTTAATGTTGATATTACAAGAACAGCTTCAGCTATAGAGAAAGCACGATTTTTAAAATGAAACTTCTCATTAAGGAGCGACATTTTACAAAGACATATTTCGCCCAATAGCATTATTTTCATGAGTTTGATCTAAGGTTGCTTTTTGGCAAAATCATTACCTTGTATTGTTTTGGGCACAGAAAAGGACAAGTTCAAGAGCTTTTTTAGCGATGTTCGGATAAGCGAACTGCTTTTTATTCTAGAGATGCAAATGCCGGTGGTCGCTGATGTGGATATAGAAGCAGATTTGAATATCAAACAAGATTTACCAGAACAGCTGAAAAAACCTACAAAGATATCATCTAACGAGGAAGTTATAAAAAGCTTGAACGAGCTCTTAAATCCACATTTTCAAGGAGATAAAAACGTCATAATTATGTCTTTGGTAAAGGTGAGTTTGATTGTGTGCACATATAATAGAATTCTTGGATGAAAGGGATAAGTATTTGGGGAGCCGCATACACTAGTACTTTAAAAATACTACAAACCACGCAAAATTATATTGTCAGGACTATTTTTCGTATCCCATGTCGGTCAAGTTGCAGATTTGTTTACATTGAAAATGATCTTTTGAATGTTAGAGGTTTATATATTTTTGCTGCTCCAAAATTTGTTCACTCCCGAAACAATGTTCCAACCAGCCACGCTTATGAAACAAGAACTAAAATAAATATAAGTTACACCTATACCAGAGTGAATAAATCTGTTTGCCAAAAATGCATAAAGTTTGATGGTATTAGGTTGTATAATAAATTACCCCTAGAATATAAAATCCTCTCGAAGTATAGTTTCAAAAAAAGAATTAAGAAGTTCATCTTAAATAACTTTGACATGCTTGCATCGACGGTAGCTTGACTCAACTCAGTAATTTCGTTTCTATCTAATGTTTTTTTTATTTCTTTTTTTTATATACATTTGCTCATAATATACCTTATGACCATTAGCCATGCATTGAATTTGTATATTGTATGACACACACAAGCTTATAGCTTAGGTGTCTATTATTTTGTAGTAAATTCTTTTGTAGTAAATTGTAGTACTCTTGTTTCTCTGCTTAACCTTTACGCAAAATTTTTATTGTTTAAACAACATAGTTTGACCTTACTCGAAATATCCCTCTATTATCATATTTCAGATATTCATATTTTATGTACTCTATATTTATACTTCTGAGTGTTTTTAGTATGCTTCTGTACTATTGTTATGAATTTTAGATTTGTTTATGCAGAAACGTAATTTAGGATCTGTGACGACAAGATCTAGACATTTACCCTTCACGAAAGTATACAGAATTTTCACAATTCACATACCGTTACTTACTGGTTGTAGATCTGATGCTAGTATCTTTGCTCAGATTTCTGTTGCAATCTTGGTTATTCAGGGTAGCAAGAGCATACAAGCTCATGTATTTTTGAAGCTTTTTTTATTTAAATTGTACTGAAGGTTGTTTTTAATTTGTAAGTTATATTGGTTTTTGAATTTGAATAAAACTTTGAAATTAGGTTTTGTACAGGGTGGCCGATACGTAACTGACTAGTTTGTATCTTGAATATTTGTCAATTTTTTTGTCATCTTAATCTTTTATTGAAACTTAGAAATTATGAATGAAAAGTAATATCAGACAAATGTCCGCCTCTAGAAGCCCCGCAAACCTGAGCCTTGTTGATTAATTACATTTCCATCACTTTTTGGTAGGCTTCGGGAGGAATATTTTCACTCGCTTCCGTAAAATTGCCCTTCAGTTGCTCTACAGTATTTGGCATGTTGGCATAAACCCTATTTTTCAAAAACTTCATAAAAAAAGTCGGGAGCCGTTAAATCCGGTGAACTTGGTGGCCAGTTGACATCACCAAATCGAGAAATTAAATCCCCCGGAAACATTGTTCGCAAAACATTCGTTGTTTCCCTATCTGTATGACAAGTTGCTCCGTCCTGCTGGAACCACATGTATTGCAGGTAAAATTTTTGGATTTGAGGAAGCAAGGTCCAATGTCACCTCCGTACCAAACACCACACCAAACTGTGACTCGATCAGGATGTAGTGGTCGTTGATGGATGACACGAGGGTTCTCTAATGCCCAGATACGACCATTCTGCTTATTAAGAAATCCGTTCATATCGGATTGGGCTTCATTGGTGATTATTTATCAGTTGTTGGTAAAAATCGGTATTTTGGGTATTAAGCTGCAATATTCCACTAGGCTGTAGTTATTGGGTTAACTGAATTTTGTATGGCCGCAAATGCCATTCCAAAATAGTGCATAATGACGTGCAACGTATACCCAGTTCTTGAAAACGATGTCTGGTAGACGTATCAGGGCGCTCCACTACACTTTCACGAACTCTCTCGATATTTTCCGGAGTACGAATAGTTCGAACCCGGCCCGACCTTGGCAAATCTGTAACTTCACCTGTTTGTTCAAATTTCCGCACCAACTGACGAATGGTGTTGACACTGGGCACATTATGTCGACCGAAACTTAACGTAGCTTCCAAATCGTTGCGACATTATTTAAGTAAAACGTTTTAACAATACGGACGCGTTCTAGGATCGATGATGAATTGGACACGCTTAAACACCGGCGTTCAAGACAGACACAACGAAGGTTTCGCAAAGTTTTTTCCTCATTTTGAAGTTTAGCAGATATCTGTTTGAATAAAGACTGCGTAAACGTGCATAGGTTTTTTGTGTCAGATTTTTTACATGCTCGGTAAATCTTAATTTTGTATCAATTTCTACACCCAATATTTTTGCGCTATTGGTGAGCTCGAGCTGCTTATTGTCTATGTTCACATTTAAGAGCGAAACAACGTCGTTCCTTCTGCTGTCTGAACAAAACAATAAAATCTTAGATTTTTCCGGGTTTATGCTGAGGTTGTGATCTGCTGAATATTTGCATAGACTATCAATATCTGCTTGTAATATACTAAGTGACATATAAATCCGAACACCCAGTTTAAATGGTTTTATTTTAATAAAAGTTGGTGAATGTATTTATCTTACTGTAAATAACAAGTGAAAAAATTTTCAGCCTTATCAGTTGGACATTCCGGTTTTTATACTGCTTTTTTTTTAATTCACTAACGCTCTAAAAATGAATATTTCAGCCGCAGTAAAGAATCAACGTTGGCGGATTTTGGTTCTTGACATCCTTTACGATCGGTTACGATGCCTAGAGTACGGAGACCTGTACGATTTCGTCAACTTAGTGAGTTTGATAGGGGCCGTATAGTGGGACTTCGGGAAGCTGGACTTTCTTTTCGGGCAATTGCAGTTAGAGTGCAAAGAAGTGTAGACACTGTGGTTAGGTGTTGTCAGGCATGGCTTCGAGAAGGCCGTACGCAAAGAGCAAGGGGCACTGGACCCGCCGTAGAACAACAGACCGTGAAGATCGCCGCCTAAGATTATTGGCCTTAAGGGACCGTTTCTCCACTACCAGGTCCATTGCAAATGAATGGTTTGCAGAACACGGAAGACCTATTGGCATGCGAAGTGTTTACCGACGAATGAGAAGTTTTGGCTTGTTTTCATACCGGCCACACTGGGTCCTCCCTTTAACTCGAGAACTCCGACGTAGTCGCTTTGAGTGGTGCAGACAATGGTCACTCTGGGATCAGGAATGGAACAGTATTGTCTTTAGTGACGAGTCTCGATTTTGTTTAGGCATGCACGATGGTCGTGCCAGGGTTAGAAGGCGACGTGGTGAAAGGAGGAATCCACAGTTTTTTGTTGAAAGACATGTTCATCACACTGTTGGAGTTATGGTTTGGGGTGCTATAGCTTATGGTTCCAGGGCACCTTTAATCTTCATCAGAGGTAACATGAACGCGCAGCGTTATATCCACGAAGTTCTAGAACCCTATCTTGACACCCTGGCAGATCCAACTTTCCAACAAGATAATGCCCGACGACATGTTGCAAGAGTCACAATAGACTTCTTTCAACATAATGATGTCACATTGTTACCATGGCCAACAAGATCTCCCAACTTATCCCCAATTGAGCACGTGTGGGATATGATGGGTAGGAGATTGCTCAATTTGCAACGTCCTCCTCAGACTCTAGAAGCACTTCGAGAGGAGTTGGTGGTTGCCTGGAATGAGATACCACAGGAGGACATTGACCACCTGATCAGAAGCATGCCAGAGAATGCGTAGCACATCAGGGTGCATCCACACATTATTAAAGGTCAAAGGGCTTTAAAGCAGTGCAATCATTTTGAAATTTTTATCATTTACTTATTATGCTTCATTAAGTACTTATACAAAATTTTATTAAAATAAAACCATTTAAACTGGGTGTTCGGATTTATATGTCACTTAGTATACTTGGACAGTGCTCTCTATATCTTCTATACAGAAACAATGCGAGAGCTGGGTGTCATCAGCGAACGATTGAATATCAGAGTTGTAAACTGATCTAGATAAGTCAAATGTATATATTAAAAACACAAGAGGTCCCAAAATGTAACCCTGAGGCACTCCTGAAGGTATGCGAGTGACATAAAATATACTTTTCATTTTTTTGGCTTAATAGGAGAAATGTCAATTATTGAAGGCCTACTTAAAAAAGAGCCAACTAGCCTATTATTCATTCAATGGGGCGACTGCGGTGTTGATCAGTAACTCGTACCTACCTAATTACCTTTCAGCTTTCAGTATGTTACCTGCATCATTATTATGTTTCTTTACAATAAAACCAGTAAACTTGTTTTTTTTTCGACTTAGTTGTTGTTTTCTCTCGCTGGCTATGTTCCATGTTGTGCTGGTACCGATCAAATAGATCCATGTATGATGCCCCTTGTATCAAGTCAAGATTTATTAGTTGTAGTGTGATAATTATGTCAAGAATGGTTCAGATTACAAGCATCACAATGGAATTTTCATATTTTCAGAAAATTACCTTTGATAGAAGCTGTTCCGAGCAAGTATTCAATTCCATAAAATCTGTACCAATAAACTTCGTCTCACCAGTCTTTGATGCCTATAATTGTTCTGTCACGTTACTTCGTCTATTATTCACTACCAAGGATGAGGAAAGATTAAGTTACGCTAAACAACTAGTGATTTCAATACAAAACAATCACTGCAAGACCATCCTAAATAACTACATAAAAAAATACGGCGATGATAAAGCTCAGCGAAAAATTAGGAAGGAACAAGAAAATGCGAATGAGGTCCTGTTACCCGAGAAACCCGAGGAAATAAATAAAACGCTTAATAAGCTCTTATCGGAGCAGGAGTCCAGTGAAGAAAAAATGGGAGTTCTTGTCGATTGGTTGTCGGCTATTGAGTTAGAGTCAGCTTTTTCAGATAAGTATAAATTACAGGTTAGTATCGAAAACACAAGTTGAGGTTACTTGTAAAACTGGTCACAATCACTAAATTATACCACTACGAATCTTGTATTGGAATTATGAGTGAAGACACGTTTGAGAACAAAACATCTTTTCGGGGAATACATACGGGTGACAGGTAAATAGGTGTAAAACATTTTAGGAGGTGATAGTACAGCCCCTTTGCTATCGAAATTAGTATACCCTATATTCAAAGGTTGAAAAGTTATTGAAGATTTAAGATTTTTTTAAAAACAATCCATATTTCAGAGTAAAAAAGTTGGCGATTAAACATTTGTTTTTTGTGGTTTTGGGTTATTATTTCAATAATTAACTATTATACATTAAAAAAGATTCGACATACCAAACAACGTATTTATTTTCATTTAAAAATGTTTAACTAAGAAAAACAAATAACGTTTTACAGTAAGTAAGGTGTTTTACAAAAAATCAGTATACAAAAAAATGTACAAACAATTTAAATAATATCCTTGTTTCATAAGGAATGTAAATTGGTATGATAAGTGCACAAAAACTGTGTGAAACTAAACATAATGTATTGTATTCATAAGAATGTGTTTTTGTGAAAATAATGTAACTGTAAGCTATGGGATAGTTATTATTTTAAACTACGGTTAAGTTACACGATTGGATTATTTACACAGTTGTAATTGTACTACAGAATAATAAAAACTGACTAAAAGTTACTACAATTGGTAAGTAAAATACAATAATGAAATGAAGGTAAAATTCATTGCAATTGTTGTTCGAACTGACGCCCGCCGTTTCTTATGCAAGCCCGTAGTTTTCTCATGTTGGTACGCGTGATGCGGCCAGTTAGTTGTCCTCTGATAGTGTCTGCAGCAGCAATAATTCTTTCTTTCAACTGTGCAAGAGTGTCTATGGGCTCAGCGTACACCTGTGACTTCATGTGCCCCATAAATAATAGTCACACGGTGTTAAATCTGGGCTCCTCGCTGGCCACGGTGTCGGTCCACCTCGGCCAATCCAGCGACAAGGATATTTCTCGTCCAGCCACTGTCTAACACCCAGGTGGAAATGCGCGGGACAGCCATCGTGTTGGTAGATCATCTGCATCCTGATATTCAGAGGCAGGTCTTCGAGATACTCCCAGAGTTCGGATCTCAAAAAGTTTTCATAGGATTCGCCATTCACGTTGTCAGGCAAAAAAACTGGTCCAATTAGATACGTATGAATGATTCCCATCCACACGTTTGCCGAAAATCTTCTTTGATGGGCTCTTGGCTTTGCCATGTGGGGATTTGCCTCTCGTGGGGCCCAATAATGTAAGTTGTGATAATTTGTTGTCCCCTCTCTGTCAAACTTAGACTCGTCGGTCCACAATATTTTAGTTAAATAGTCGTTTTCTTCTTGATCCCGATGAAGCATGTATCGACAAAAATCAATTCTTCTTGCGGGATCTCCTTCTTCTAATACTTGAACCGGTGTGTAATGGAAAGGGTAAAGTCTCGCCGAATGCAAAACGAACCAAACTATCCACTGAGTTAAACCAAGCTGCTTTGCTATAACTCGTGTAGACGTCGTCGGGTCTCTTCCGTAGCATTCCAGTATTGCCTCTCGATCTTCGTCGTCAAACAACAGAGGTCTACCAGCATCATGACGTCTCTCATGAACCTGTCCACTTTCCTTGACGCGTTGGTACACATAAGCAAATACTCGATGACTCGGTATTCGCCGATTCGGAAAACGGTTTTCGTATTCTCGCCTGGCTTCAACGGAATTTCCATCACTTAAACCATAGCAAAACAGAATATCAGCGTATTCTTCGTTACGGTAACTCGCCATTATTAAAACTGATCAAAAAAGTAAAAGTACGTCCTACCGCGTTAAAGGTTGATATTCTACTAACCAACCTAAGCGTTAGTTCCCTTTCCTTGATCCGTCAGCTGAGTCAATTCATAACAGAGCTTGCTTCCGAGGAGCAACGACAGATTCCGAATACTTAAACCCGAATAACGGCACAGGGCACAAAAAATAACAAAAAGGGTCAAACCATGAACCTGCTCAGTACAATGAAATGCGCTTAGCGGTCCTTTCTAGCAAAGTAATATTGTTTTGTTAAATGGTTTACTTACTGATATGTTATTATACCACTTTAGAAACCTAATCAAACAAGGAAGTTTTTGCAGTTATTTGTACATTTTCTTTATTATGATTTTTTTTGAAAAAAAAAGACTTGTGTGAAAGTTGAAAATAAAAATTTTCAGCTAACATTTAAATGAAAATAAATACGTTTTCAGTAGTGTTTTCATATGTTTTTTAATTTATGAGAATTATGTATTTGAATAATAACCTGAAACCATCAAATGTTTTATCACCAACTTTTTTTTTATCTCAACTATTTTACTCTGGGTTGTTTTTTAAAAAAAATAAATCTTCCATAACTTTTTAACCTTTGAATATAGGGTATGTATTATATACTAATTTTGATAGCAAAGGAGCTGTACTATCACCTCCTAAAATGTTTTACACCTATTTACCTGTCACCCTGTATACAGAATGCTTAAAAAACAATGACAGTATTTCGGGGGCTTAAAATACAGGGTGTTCGAAAATAGATAATTGGGTTGGAAGAGGTGGACCAATTCACTGGCCACCTCGCTCCCTTGACTTAAATCCAATAGATTTTTATTTATGGGGATACTTCAAGACGATAGTTTACGCTACTCCCATAGAAACAATAGAATAATTAAGAAATAAAATCGTAAATGCTTGTGAAGGAATAAGAAATATTCCTCGAATCTTAGCTCGAGTTCGTCGTTCAATGATTCGTAGAGTGAGAAGGAGTACGGAAATGGACAACATTAGTTTATGTCATGGTACCCATTGGAAAAGTTGCAATAACACTTGTTTCCTAATTATTTTTTTGATTTTTTGTTTTCCAATGCACTTGTGATTTTTAGCCAAAATTAATAAACTATTTGTCCAGTGACATGCATTTCGAAAAAAAAACAAGAGGCAAAGAAGTTCTATTTTCAGATGCTTAATCAAACAACAAATATTAAAGTTACAAAAAAGGCAGTGGCGAACAACATTGTTTGCCAATAATAGTCGCTATGGTGCCCCCCGGGATGCCCATGGATATAATTTCAATATATTTAGGGCTAAATTCACCTCTTAATACAACAAATAATATTGCCGAATTTCAACAGAATCGAGGAAATATTTGTCAAAATATTAATAAAAAAATTTGTTTCTTGAAAATTCTGCATTTCCGGACCCATGTTTATAGAACCTTTTTTTCATATTTTTTAACAAGGAATCGCCCTCTAAAATATCTCCGTCTATTTTTTGAACAGCCTGTATATTCAAAACAACAATCATTTTCTATAAACGTAGGTTCTAAAATGTCTGCTTACCGAAATACAGGATGAGGCTTAGGAAGTTTCGAAATTCAAAATACTTCCGGAGAGAGACGAAATTTTTCCAAAATCGTATTATTGTTTGCCTGATTTCATTGGTAGTAGGATTTCAAAATAAATTGCACATTTAACGTTGCAACTTTTACATCTCTACAAGATGGCATAATGGGGAATAGAAGAGGCGTTTGGTACGATTCGGCAAGAAATTCGCCTACGTACGACAACCCCGTCGAGATAAGACAAAGGTGTCGTGCGTGCATACGCAATAGAGGACAACAATTCGAACAAGATTTGTGAAACAAAAAATAAATGAAGATTGAAATTTGATTTTACAGGTTTTTTTTATTCTTTCCCCTGTACACAAAATTTGCAAATTCAATAAGTTAGTTAAACTTTTTTGTGACTTGTGGCATACCGTTAGAATCGGGATAAACTAGAGTAGTTTTTAAAAGAATTCTAAGAACGTGAACGCTTTTAGTTTTTTTTACAGAAATTCAAAATTGAGACTTACATTTTTTTGTTCTTCTTTGTAACACTCTGTGAGTTTATAAATAAAAAACTACATGCTGCTGGCAAGTAATGGCTGCTGGCAAGTAATGTTAATTATGTAAGATTGGTACAACATCACCCATTAAGATAAATGAATCATTAGGTGGACATACTCTTTATTTTTTTTATTTCACTTTGTGTATTACATTTTAAGTGGCAGAGTAGCATTATGCTACACTTCGCCCCCTAAATAAAGACGATTTATTATTTTACTAAAAAAAAAAAATTAAAAAATCTACATAATTCCGTTGGGCTAAAAACTGTTTGAGGGACCTGGGTGATAGAAAAAGACCTCCCCCTGTCCGCCATTACAATTTGGCAAACGATGCATTTTAGCGATCTTCTCATAAATGATAGTTATACTTCAACTGAACGTATAGCTACAAGATATTCTGTTTAAATAACAGTATTCCCAGAAAATAATGATCATGCGCTTCCCTTTCAAATGATTCAGTATTGAAATTTTTGATACAGTAATATCAATTTTCAGATGGATTTGCTGTTTTCCAAACAAAATTATCAGTTTCGTCCTCTGATGATGTCTCTTCTTCTCCAACGAGCCAGCTGGAAAACTCTTCACGGTATGATGCTCTGTCTTCTGAAAGATAACGTTTCCAACATTTTTCCCGTATCGGCACTTGATTTCTTGACGGCCGTGACTAAGAGCCCGAAACTGTGGCAGGGCAGAGATAAAGCTATTCCGAAGCATGCGCATGCTGAAGATGTGCTACATTTGAGTAAAGAACAGGTACGTTAGGTGTAGATAGATACATATGCTTTATTGTCTGAAGAATACAATCTTTCTTAATGACAAAGCTAACTTAAACATAAATATAAGCGGTGTAATTTCTGAAAATGGGTATACTCAATGCTTAAAAATCCTTTTGGAAATTATAGTTTTTGAGGTCACCAAGCATGGAAATAAAAGTTTGAATCTTGCTTCTCTAAAGTGATTATTAACCTTGCCTGTTAGGCTAAAATGTACAATGATTTTGGACATCTCTTTCTACATTCCAAGACCACTTCTGTCACCCTATCACACATCAAAACGATCCAATTGAAAATATCTAACCGGGGAACTCCCAGCGCTGCGCATGCGAATGCATATGAGAGTGGGGATGGCCGTAGCCTTGATGTGGAGGAGGTAAAGGACTAGGACACGCTTGCGCATATCCGCCGTGGTGTCGAGGTGATCCGCCCAGGCCAGCCAAGTGGCACTGCTCCAAATGGGCAGCTTGGCCTGCGAGGGCGGAGTGTACGTGCGCCTTCGGACTGCCGTAAACCATCTGTCTTACTTTGCTATCGTCGTCGCTGATGTTGTGAGTTCGGTCTCCTCGAAGCCCGTGGCTGACATCCGTTGGTCGCCGCCGCTGAGCCAGCAGGCAGGTCTGGAGAATTCAGGCAGGCCTGGATTAACGCTTTTCTTGGAACAAACGGCCATTCTATAATTCTCAGTCAGACGATGCGAATTAAAATATCACGCCTAAATCACAAGCTTACGACCATCCAGCCAGTAACAGTAACCAGTGCAAGATCCACGAGCATTAGGAGAGATGCCTTTTAAGTTTTGCATATGGTAATAAAAAACACGGCAGGTAGTTTTAAATGACTTTATTGTTTTTCCTAGTATTCTCCACGAAGATTAATACACATCTGCATGCGCTCGAAGCAATTTTCGAAGCACTTATTCCACTCGTTTGCTGCCAGATCCAAAACGGCATTTTTGAATGCGTCAACTGCTTCTTCTGGTGACTGGAACCTTTGACCACGCAGTCTGTTTTTAATTTTCGGGAAAGTAAAGAAATCGTTAGGACTTAGATCGGGACTATATGGAGGATGGTCCAATAATTCCACGTTTTCTTCCGTTAAAACTGCCTTGTTTTTTGTGCTGTGTGCGAGCTTGCATTGTCTTGGTGGAGGATGATTTTTCTTTCGGGGTTGATTTTTCGAAGCTCGGTGATGACTTTTGGCAAACAAATGGTGGTATACCAATCCGCAGTAACAGTTCTTTGCTCAGTAAGAGGAATTGTTGCAATATGACCTGCTTTTGACACAAATGTCGCGACCATCTTTTTCGAAACACTTCGAGAACGGATGACTTTTGTTGGCTTTTCTTCACCTTGGAACACCCAAACAGCCGACTGTCGTTTATTTTCTGGAGCAGATCAGTAAATCCACGATCATCACTACTAACAATGCTGTACACATTTTTTGAGTTTCCATAATTGAAACGGTCAAGCGTTTTTTGACACCAATTAACCCTGGCTGCTTTTTGGTCTTCAGTCAGCAGGTGGGGTATCCAACGAGACACTAATTTTCTTACTCCTAATTCTTCATGTAAAATTTTTTGAATTGAGCTCTTTGAGATCTTCAAGGACGCCTCAATCTCGCGATATGTCACATGTCTATCTTCAATGATGAGTTTGTGCACAGCATCGACGTTTTCCTGGGTGACTGCCGTTTTTGGTGCACCCACCCTGGAATCGTCGCTAAGACTCATCCGTCCACGTTTGAATTCTCCATACCAACGGGAAATTGTCGACTGATGTGGCGCTTCGTTGCCGAAAACAAAAATCGCTTCGATTTTTTCTTCCAATGGACTAGAATTGACCATTTTAAAAATAGTTCAAACAGTATCTAGCACTAAAACCGAAAACTAAATAAGAATGTTTTAACTGTACAGTGATGTTTGTTTTCATGCTGATATTCTTGTCACTGTCAACAAAAAATAACAAAACAAGTTTTTATCGCTGTTGCTGTGGATGCGGCAGGGAATTACAATTATTTGTAGAGATAAGCATACTAGTTGGTTTGTGTTCAAGTAATTATTAAATGTACCACCATTTTGCAGTAGGTAAAGGTATTGAATCTATATTCTAGGGTTATAAAGTACTCGTCAGGAGCTTCAAAATGATGTGCCACAAGACCCGTGTTTTCATATAATTTTTTTTCCAAGATGATGATGATGATCCACGATCAATTTCATTGCCTCAAGTTTTAATTTTTTGAATTGATCCGTTCGAAAAATCAAAGGGGAGGGGGACATTAAAGAAAAGCACCGTATAGGTGGATCTTAAGTAGGTGAATTGTAGAAGTCGCACATGGTATATATATGGTTACATATTAACAAGTTTTTAAGAGTTCACGGCGGAATATCTTTAAATTGATAAATTCTTTTGATATCATCAGGTAGACACAATTTTTATCGAGTCCTTTACAAGTGTTGATTTAGGTACTACTAATTTAAATTTTGTTTCCGTCTATTATTGTAACTTATATTTGATGTTTAAAATTCAGATTTATTTTTCAAAATGAGAGTTGCTGTTTCTAAAACGAACAATGGTACGACAGTCATAATTTTAAGCTTTACAAATAAAGGCTACTAAAGGACTGCTTTTAGTTATACAGAGTGTTTGTTTTCAAAGTTGAGTCATTTATTTTAACTGCTTGTAGGACTGGTCAAAAGCAGTATATATTCCAAAAATCACCCATATAAAAGTTGCATAATAAAAGAAATCGTATAAGATTAAGAATTTAAAAAAAATAATGTGTTACACAGATTATTCTCGACCACTGCCGTGTGAAATCTTAGCGTTTTTTGTTTACTACTCTTATCGTTTATGGGTTTTAGCAAACTGTTTGTGTTATTGTATGGTTTTCAGTACGAGTCTTTGGTTCGATCAATTGTAGCAATCTTTTAATCGTATACCTTCATTTGTCTGATTATTTTTTGTAAAAAAATGGCCCATGTTTACGAAAACAATGAACTACTGGACATAATACTAACATACGGAGAGTGTCAACAAAATGCAACCGCAGCATGCAGGTTGTATGCGGAAAGGTTTCCTTTGAGAAATCATCTGTCCCCACGGATGTAAATTTAGTTATTAGACTTCGTGACACAGAATATTTAAAAGAACAACGAGGAGGTCACGCTGGAAGACCTGCTCAACCTAAAATGTTACAAAATGAGGAAGGAATTTAAAAAATTAATTTTGTGTATAGACGAGGCCACATTTACACGAAATGGGGTGCACAATTTCCACAACAATGTAAAAAGAACTCATTTTCAACATAGGCAGCAGCGGTGGCCGCAGTAGTTGACTCTTCGGTCTCCTGATCAGTCGCCGTGCGCTGTGCGGGTTCGAATCCCGTCCCAGGAGAAATTTGCCTCTTGGCTATGGATGTTGTGATTGTCCGTAGGTGGTAGACGGTCTCTGACTGTCGAACGCGGAGGTACCACCCGGCGGATCTCGTAGGCGGGGCCAGAATGTGTGCATGTTGCATGCACACGTGTTCCCTCGCCAGAGTCCGTGTGGCGTTCCCCCTTTTCCCTGAATCCCCCTATAGCCCCACGGTACCCCATGGGTATTTAGGTCTTAGGCCTTGGTGGTAGTTGCAGTATAATATATATATATATATATATATATACGTATATATATATATATATATATATATATATATATAGAATATGATCATGCGGAGAAAGGTATATAATAACAAGTAGGAAAATAATGGGCAAAATCCGCAAAAAGGAGGAAAGTGGATTCGAGCAGAAAATAGGATAGGTAACCCGAGCGATACGTATTTCTACAATGTGTAGGTTGGCTCTTGTTGTGGACTTCGTGTGTCGTTCCAACTACGTTTCCTCAGGTTACACCCGTATCCGGATGTGTGGGCATGTGTATCTACTTTTGTAGTTTCATATGTGCATTCATTTCGGGCCTGATGAAGCCAACCAGCAGAAATACGTATCGCTCGGGTTACCTATCCTATTTTCTGCTCGAATCCACTTTCCTCCTTTTTGCGGATTTTGCCCATTATTTTCCTACTTGTTATATATATATATATATATATATATATATATATATATATATATATATATATATATATATATATATTTTCATTAAATGTTTGGGCTGGCGTGTTAAATGGGATGCTTATTGGACCCTACTTTTTTCACCTCAAGTGACCGGTGAAATTTATTTAGATTTTCTTCTACACAATCTGCCACAATTTTTAGATGTTCCTCTAAATGTGAGACATGATATGTGGTTCCTACATGATCGGGCTCCACCACATTTTGAACATGAACATCTAAATAATGAGTTTCCGAATAGATGGACATGGTGCAATGGACCTACTATTTCTTGGCCTGCTCGCTCCCCGGATTTAACGCCTTGCGATTTTTTTTGTGGGGCTATTTGAAAGAGTTGGTGTATCATGATGGAGCAGTAAATACTCTGGAAGAACTTCAACAGCGCACTGAAAATACTTTAATAAAATAATTTAATTCGTGGAGATCAGAATTTTATTTTCGCAGCTTGCAAAGAGTCGAGGATTCACCGAGCAAGATTTTGCGTTAATCGAACAAATTGGGACAATTTTGAACAGTTTTTGTAAAAACGGTATCCATTAAACGTGATAATGATTTCTGTTAAATAAGTTTTAGTAATGTAAACTAACTCTCTTATTATGCAACTTTTATATAGGTGATTTTTTGTATATCAACTTCTTTTGAGCAGTTCTACAAGCTGTTAAAATAAATGACTCAACTTTGAAAATACAATGTATATTCTATGATACGTACTGCTTAAACCTTTTTGTACTTGGAAGGAATGGATATTAGGGGTGTTTCATCAAAGATGAACCCCTGGTATCACGTATTGGATGACGAATTGTCTGACTGATCGTCACGTATGGATAAATGGTGAAACGGCCAGTTTCTGTTGTTTGCCTACATAATCGCAACCCGCATTTCGATAGCAGGTTTTTGGGTTGCATACTTATAGGATGGATCATACTATTGGAACAAGATGAAACGGAGGAAATATAGCCGAGTATAACGATCACATTAAATATACTATACTATTACTATTTTTCAGGCTTTGATAATGGTAAAATATATAATAGAAGAGGCACGACTAAACTCAAAAGACTGGCAAAATAAGTTAGAGATTCGTTTGCTGTTGTTACAAAAATGTCTTAGTGCAGACAGTGCTGTACACATTGTGCGAACATTGCTGGAACAACCTGACATGGATATATACAGTTGTGAATTGCTGTTGATGATATACATGTCGCTGCCATTTGCCGGTCAACACGAAATTGATATGAAGTCGGAAATTTGCAAAAACGTCTACAAGAAGGCTATACCTAGTGCCACTGATGAAATATCGCATTATTTATTGAGTGCTTTAGCGGCCGTCTATAAATGTAATAATTTCTCGAAGAGAGCCAGAGATCTGGAAACCTGTGTTAGAAAACTAGCTGCTACACATCCAGTACTTTTGCTTAGGCAGTTACCTATGCTAGCAGGATGTCTCAAAGGTAATATTTTTACAGGGTGGCCCAACGAAAAGGTCGCACGCCTGTTTAGACTCTTCTGGTATATTTTGGGAAAAACGCTCGGACAATTCAATTTCGATTTGTATCAATTCATCTATAGCCGTACAATACAGGGTGATCCAAAAATAAGATATTGCATTACGCTTTAGATTTTTAAATGACTGTGTTCACTAGCAGTCACCAATATTCACAAATAATAAAATTTTAGGTCGTGTGGAATACACAACAAATGTGTTCATCAACAGGGGTCACTACACTCTGTTCAAGCAGGTTCTAGGCCTCATGGAACTTCTTCAGCCTCATATTTTCGAACAGTATGATACACTGTGTAACATTTTAGACACATATTTTCTACTTATTCGTTATCACGGAACCCATAAAGATGTCCAGGTGGTGGTGTCTAGAATAGTTACTTTAGTACAAAACTGGATGGTCAAGGATTGCAAGGGAGTTTCAGCGTTTTTGCAGAAACACGGAGAAATGCTGAAGTAAGTACACTCAAATGGCCGGTATCAGAATAGTCCCTTTTTAGGAGAGAGTACTCTGTGAGAACGTAGCCATATATAAACATCCGTAACATTGCTCATTTCTTTTCCATAGCACAGATCTGAAGAATACGGTCATTCTTAATGAGAAAGCTAACTTAGAACTAAACTATAACATAAGAACATATGTGGATCTTAAGAAGGTAAGCTGTAGAACCCAAACATGGTATAATATGGTTTAGGGTTCACAGCAAAATATCTTTAAATTGATGATTCTTTCAGGGAGACTGTTGTAAATTTTCAGATCATTATAATTTATTGAGTTTTTCGCCAATGTTCATTTAGGTACTACTAATTTGAGATCTTGTTTTCGTCTAATATTGTAACTTAACTGTTTCAAATTTAGATTTATTTTTAAAAAGAAGAATTACCGTTTCCAAAATGAACAATGATACGCCATTATTTTAAATTTTACAAATACAGGCCTGCATGTAGCTCTAGGATTGCTTCTAGTTATATGTCTAGTAGTTCGTTTTTGTAGAATAAGCACTTTTTTTAAAGAATTTTGGGAACAGACACACCAAAAGGAATTGCTCTATCTCAATCTACATTCAAATAATGCAACGTAACTGATTAAGGTTGTGCCTTCCCCTACGTTGTATCTAATTGTTCTTATAATAAAGGGAATCTTTGCTAATTGAGTGAGCAGATTGTCTACATGATTAGTAATAGCTAATTTATGATCACCAGTCAGTCAGAAAAATTTGATGGTGTCTGTAATTCATAAATTTTGGCTTATTAACATTGAAAGTCTAGTAATTGTTGTCACACCATTTGATTGATTATTTATCACTATCAATTTTTATCTTGATTTCATTTATATCTGTGCCTTGCCAAAGTTTCGTCAGCAAAAATTACGAATTTACCATTTATGTTTACGTTTATTAACTCATGATTTACACAGTCAAAAGCTTTAGAAAAGTCGCAAAAAAGTTGCTATTCAAATTTGTTTATCGTCTAAACTTGAGTGCAACTGTTGGAGTAATGTGAAAATAGCATCGATGTTATTTTTTTGTTTTTGGAAACCAAATTGGTTGTCACATAATTTTATTTGATTTTGGAAAGTCTCCTGATCCAATTTGAACTATTTTTGCTATCACAGTAATTAAACTTATTATGGGTCTATAATTTTCTGGTAAATCGCTTGGATACCCATCATAAATAGGAGTAACTATTGATGTTTTTAAAACTTCAGCTCAGTTTTTTTTTTGAAAAACGCTCAGATCCGTCGATTTTGTTTTCGAGGGGGACACAAGTTTGGCAAAAAATCACGTTAACACGTGCAGCCCTCTGGGCGGGGGTGACACCAACCCTAAAATCTTAAATGGAAAGGGTGGTCGAGTGATACCTTATTTTAAAGGTCGTTCAATTCCCTTTATAATGATATAAAATTAATGTACTTCAGTTCAGACATTCTTTAAGGGCATAGTGTTAACCAAGTTTTGGCAAAAATTTGGTGTAAAACAATCCCATATTTCTTGAAGCTTTTGTCTCAGTTGGGTGATTGTACAAGCAGGATGTTGTCGTCGAACCTTTTTCACCTCGTGCCAGAAAGTTTCAATAGGTGACAGATCTGGACTGCTAGAAACCCATTTCAAAAGTGGTACATTATTTTGTTCCATCCATTTTATAGTCTTTTTTGAGGTATGGCACGCTGCACCATCTTGCTGAAACACAAAATCTTGGCCGGATGTCAAACATTCTTCCATCACTGGTAAAAGCGATTCTTCTAAAATTGCCAAATATTTGTTTGTATCCACATTTCCATCAATAAAATGAAGTTTTCCTACTCCTTTTGATGACATACTGCCCCATACCATAATGGATGCTGGAAATTTCACTTTTCTCTTCAGACAGTCAACATGGAATACTTCATTTTTTTTGCGAATAACTCTACTGCGACTGTCACCAACACAAACTTCGAATCGAGCCTCATCACTCCATTGTATTGCACACCATTGTTGAGGTGTCCATTGTCTATGTTCTTTAGTCCATCTAAGCAAATTTTTCTTTTGCAGTGGAGTTAATAGTGGCTTTTCTTTGGCCTATAAACAAGTTGTGCAATTTTAGGGTTTTTACTTCACTTTTTTTTATAAGAAAACTTACCTTGCAAGTGCTAAATCCCAGTTTGTGGGTCTCTCTATGAGTTGTGGACCTCGAAATTCTCCTTCCAACAGCGTCACTCCACAGAGCACTTAATTTTAAATAATTGGCACGCCTGATTTTCACGATTATTCTTCTTAATGCTCTTCGGTCGGCATTTGTGATATTACTTTTTTTCACATATCGTGGCTTAATATTAACTGAACCAGTTACGTTATATCTTCTAACAGTATTTCTCACACTGTACTGCGATAAGTCTAACAAAGTTGCAATTTCTAAGTTTGATTTCCCAGAATTAAAAAATTTAATTATCAGTAACCGAATTTTCTCACTAATAACCTTTCCTCTACCCATTTTGAAAACCTTAACTACCCAAAATTATTTTAAACGTATTCTGACAGCTGTGAGTAATAAAAACAATTGTCAGGGCTTTTATTTTCCACAGCCACCTATGCGTTATAGACTTATTTTGCATTGAAATGAAAATAGGTTGATATGCTGTAAAGTTGGTGTTTTCTACTATATATTATCAAAATAATCATTGTTAATATTTTAAACCTATAACACCCTGCTACATTTTTATTATTTGTGTTTGATAAGAAAAAAACTAAGATTTCAATAGTTGGGCCAACTGAAGTGGGAAGGGGCTCGTATGATGTTAAATGGTTGATAAATAATATAAATAGAAGCGGTCCCAGAATAGAACATTGGGGGACGCCTAGACAAATATCATATGCTTCTGCGACATAATTTTCGACCTTCACCACAAATTTTCGATGGTTCAAATATGATTTAAGGAAGATTAAGAAAGTCCCTAGAAATATCAGTGCATATAACTTATCCGTTGCAGTACTTATGCCTATTGTGCCATTCTCATTTCAGTGATGTACAATTCAGTCAGCCTCGTGTGAAGCCTCTACTGAGCTGCGTTTCTTTGCCCACCTCTGTAGATCAAGACCCCAATGAGGTCTTGGTAGGATCAATCAGTCAGTCAATGCCTGAGCAATTTCCACCACAATGGAATCAACTAAAATTGGCTCTGCAGTCTCAAGACGCTCATACTGCGTTGTACGAGATCGACCATATCACAAACAGAAAACCACAGTTTCTCGAAGATATCTGTGATAGAATATACGATTGCATCAGTAAGTACATATTACGATTGTTGTCATTATATTACTTTCCTTCCAGTGTTTTCTAAACATTGCAAAAAAGTTGGTAAAAATATTGGCCGATACCGAAAAGATTCAAAAGGCACACATTGAGTATTTTTCCCAACATACAATCGATTCTTCTTTTTGAGACACTCAGTACATATTTCCTGGAATACCGGTTGCGCCATCTTTTATGTCGGTATTGAAACATCGAATGACTTTGATATTTACCAACGAGTGATTTGGTTATACGTGTTTCTGAAACGTCAATTTACTACAATTTTAGTCACCGAAACAACGCGCCGAAATAGTCACAATGTACATTGAAAATCGTCGTTCAGTTGTGTTAACGCAACGTGCATATCGTCGAAAATATCGTGGCAAACGGGCACCGTCTGACAACACTATCCGTCGTTTGATTTCGAATTTTTTTGAGTACAGGACAGTGGGAGATCGTCAACATACCGTTCATCAACGACCAAGACTTTCCAATGAATTGGTTGAAGCGGTCAGAGACAGCGTTGCCCAGAACCCAAAAGTGTCTTATCGTCAACGCGCTCAGCATTTTGGCATCAGTGGAACCACGTTGCGGCGCATTTTGAAGGATGATTTGCATTTGTTTCCTTATAAGGTGCAGTTAACACAAAAATTACTGCCAACTGACCGTCCACGTCGCTGACCTGAGTTTTGGAAGCAAATTGTGCTGACCGACGAGGCCCATTTCACGCTCTTTGGCGGCCTTAATAAGCAAAACTTCCGCATTTTGGGGACGTAAAATCCACATGAGATCCACGAAATGCCGTTGCATGACCGGAAAGTGACTATTTGGACCGGCGTTTGCGCCAAAACCATCATTGGGCCATTTTTATTCAACGAAAACGAAACAGTCAATGGAAATCGATATCGGTGGATGTTTGCTCATTATGTCTGCCAACTAATGCGTGAAAAAGGTCTTGATGGTTACTGGTTTCAACAAGACTGTGCGCCATGCCACACTGCAAATGAAACAATCCAGTTTCTGCAACGAAAATTCCCTGGACGTCTGATGTCAAAAAGAGGTGACATTGACCGGCCACCCAGGTCTCCAGATTTGACCCTACCGGACTTCTTCTTGTGGGGTTATTTGAAAAGTCAAGTGTAGACCACTGAAGAACTCAAGGCAAACATTTGTACCGTAATCGCCGCTATACCACCAGAGATGCTCGAAAAACTAATGGAAAACGCAGCAAAACGGGCACATTTTGGTTTCACCAATAAAGGTGGCCACTTGATAGATGTTGTATTCAAAAACTAGTCCCAATGAATTGTAAAGGACCATATATTTAATGAACATACAAGATATATAGAAATCAGTTTTTTGTTTTCAAAGTAATTTCATGTTTACATACCGACATAAAAGATGGCGCACCCGTTACACTGCCGTTCAGAAGTTATCCAAGAACTAATTATTTTCAGTAGCGCTTTATACAAAATCGTCAGATGTCAAAATAATCTTATAATACCTTAACGAATCACCGCATGGCTTTGATCATCTTTTTGGATAGACAGGGTGTAATTTAATTGATAGCTAAAAATACAGTTTAAATGAACATAAATATATCCTAAAACGCTTATACTTTTGAGCTACAGGCTGTTAAAATTTTAAGAAAATATCAGTTTTCTTATTATTTTAATGAAATTTAACACGCACCTACTGAGCACAAATAGGCATTTTTTGATGTTGAATATATTTTTTAATATCTCTACTAGTGGCATGTATGGGATGTATTCTGGAGATTTTTTAAAAAAGTATAGTAGTATAAATTGATTTTTTTTTTGTTGTAATCATTAACTCTGCAGGAAAGTGTACCTCTTGACTTTTTTCCGTCTGATGTAACATTTTCGCGTAAAAAAATAACCATTTTCATGCATTTGTGCTATAACGAAATTATTTTGATCTGTAGGGTGGTAGACTGGTGCCTTATTTTGTTTTTAAACTAATGACATTTGATCGATTACGTTGCGGTCTTATTTTGACAAGTATTCATAGACGTGATAGTTTTTTGCATTGTGAAAGTTTCTGTAATCAATAATAAAGAGAAAATAAGTACAGTGGACCTGCGGTAATCCGACAAACATTATGCAGGGCAGTGTCGGACTATCCAATTTGTCGGATTATACAGCACTACCTAAGACCCCTTACAGTCCAGAATTTTTTACAAAATAGTACCTTGTAATCTGACAAATTACATATCCAATGGTAAGATTATATATGTTATGTATATGTATGTACTGTGAAGTACAAATCATACATAGTTTATGTATGTCGAATTTAGTAAATTAAATAACATTAGAGAGCTTACGTTTTATTATAAAATTAAGCATAAATGCACATATATATGTACCAAAATAATCAAGAATTATTAATCAAAATCATTAATGAATTTATCATATGTTATTATGAAGCTTGGAAATATTCATCAATTTTTTATTTGTTTAAGGTTGTTATACATTATACAGTCTTCTCAAAAGTAAAAGTTCGTTGTAGGATGTACCATTCTCTTCAGCCCATTGTAAACTTAGCTCAAAGGCGTTAATTGCGTCTTGTGCTGTTACTTGTATTTTCCTGATTGTTTGTTGTATAATTAGAAACCTCTTTTATAATCTCTTCGTCAGACATTTCATGAAAAACATTTTCCTCTTTATCCATTCCACGGCACCAGATTTCCAAATCTTCCGGACTTATCTGTGTTTCAGTAGCGACTTGTTCTATAACTTCCGAAGTAACACTGATTTGTGGAACGTTGCTAGGAGTGGTGACTATATCTGGCCATAACTTTTTCCAAGACGATTTAATAGTTGATGACGGTAACGCATTCCACGACTGACAAAGAGCAAAAGCCAAGTCTTTCATATTAAATTCTTTTAAAGTTTTTTCTATTGGTTGGTCTTTTGATACGGCTCTCAGAAGTAGGTTTTTATGATAGGCTTGTTTGACAAAATGATATTCTGGTCCATTGGTTGAATCAGTGCAGTGCAATTTGGCGAAAAAAACATCGCAGTGATGCATTTATCTTCAGCTGTTAGTTTTTCTTCAGACGGATGACCGGGAGCGTTATCAAGAAGCAACAACGCTTTTTGAGGAAAATTATGATCTTTTAACCATTTTCTAACCTCAGATACGAAGCATTCATCAAACCACTTTTTGAAAAGGTCTTTTGTCATCCATGCACTTTTTTGTCCGTAATAGTGTACAGGTAAATCAATGTTTTTGAATGCCCGTGGCTTATTAGATTTCAAAATGACCATCATCTTAAGCGCGTGTGTGCCCGCAGCGTTAGCACATGGTAGTATGGTTACACGTTCTTTACTTTTCGTCCAGGTACGGATTTTTCGTTACAAGAAACGAAAGCTTTGTTAGGCATCACACGCCAAAAAAGCCCTGATTCGTCTGCATTGTATACCTGTGACGGGTCAAGATTTAAATCGTTCACCTTTTGCAAACATCTTAATTTAAAGGGCTCTATGCAGGTGGCATCGTTAGAAAGTTTCTCTCCTGTAATAGTCATTAAACGTATGCCATGACGACTTTTAAAACGTTCGAGCCATCCTTTGCTGGCCACAAAATCATCTTTTTTTGTTATTTTTTTATAAAAAAAACTTAGCTTTCATGGCCAACATGGGTCCTGAAATTGGTGCATGCCTATTTCTTTCCTGAGGAAACCACATGTACAAAGCTTCTTCCACTTCTGGATGTTCAGCTTTCTTGAGTGTCTGTCTCTTGCCTGGCCCGCAGTCAGTAGTTGACACGAACTTCTTGATCTTCTCGTGGTTTCTTTTAATGTCATAAATTGTAGATCGGCCTACGCCGTATTCACTTGCTAAACTACTGAAAGTTTCATTGCGATTTAAGCGGTCTAAAATATCACATTTTTCTTTAATTGTCAATGTTTTGTGCTTTCGCTTCTGATGACATTACTAGGTACTATACTTAATACACAATGAATAAATAGTAAACAATGAACGCACCCTAGGCCGTACCGCTATCACAAGTAGTCAAATTCAAACTAAGTAAAACAATGATTACGCGTCGAGCACGATAGCGGTGGCGCGTACAAGTTGTAACCTGTTCAAACCTGCGTGATCTACATTAGCGAAGGTTGTCAAATACGTATGTATGTAATACATATTCAAAGACATGTCGGATTACAGGGGGCGCCGGATTAGACAGGGGCCGGATTATCGGGGGTCCACTGTTAAACTATAACTATAAACCAAGATTCACAAAATCCGAGTTAGCGGACTTGCTGCCGGAAATGCGCTTATGGCTAGTCGGATATATCAAGAGCGGTATCCAAATCGTATCATTCCCGATGCCATAATGTTTTCTAGAATACACATAAGACGACATGAAACTGGGAGTATTAGCATTGACAATTGTTCCAAAGGGGCACATCGCACGGTAAGAACACCAGAATTAAAGGAAGTTGTTTTAAACACAATTGAGGCACATTCAGAAACAAGTACTAGGAAAATTGCGGTAATGCTAGTGTTTCTCATTTTCTTATTTGGAAAATACTTGTTGATATAATTTACCATACCCCTATCATATTCAAAGGGTTCAAATATTAAAATATATTCTACATCAAAAAAAATGCCTATTGGTGCTTAAAAGCCAAATTTCATAAAAATATCTAGAACAGTATTAAATTTATAACAAGAAAACGTATTTTTTTTCTTAAAATTTAAAGACCCTGTAGCTCAAAAATTAAGAGGTTTAGGATATATGTTCATATGAACCTTTCTTCCTAAAATTAGCTAAGGAATCATATCCTGTATTATTAGCCATCAATTAAATTACACCCTGTATTGTTTTGATACCCGATACTAGGAAAAAGTGAAGTTTATCCCAAAAAAAAGTAAGCGACCTTTTGTTCCATTTTTGAATCATTCCCATTATTTTTCAGCTTCGTCGAATGGCCAAATACGAACGCTAGCATTAGCGATGATGGTACGCTGGCTCAAATATAACCCCAGAGCCGCGAGTTCAGCACTGCCTGCACTTTTAGCCGCGTTGGAAAGTCAAAATGGCGACATCGTTAATAGTGTGTTGGATAGATTGGCCGATTTAGTAGCTGTCATGCAAGAATACGCCAAAGTTATATTAGACAGAGTATTTCGGTTGAGTTCCCAAGGAAACAGTATCACGAGGAGTGTGGATTTGTTAAATTTGCAAAGAGGCTGTTGAAATGTTTGTATTTTTATTATAGAATTGTATAAAGTATTAAAGTAAAATATATTGTTTTTGTGAACCATCCAGATACTACAGTATATTGTTGCCGTGACCATATCGTAAAATTGACCTTTCCGTCGTTTTCTATTGGCTAGATTATGAGGGATGCTTTGTTTTTCGACAAAGCCAAATCAATACGTTATATACAATAAACTACTCCAAACAAAATAATTTGTTCATCAAAAAATGGGGGGTTTTTAAATGATTTTGTTTGGATTAGTTTATATCTAATATTACGTATTGAATTGGCTTTGTTGAAAAACAAAGCGTCCTCATCCTTGCATGCATACACTGGGACTTACTGAACGGATTTCAGCAGCTCAAGGTAGTCATTCAAAACGGTCGACCTTATGGTAGCTACCGATATGCAGCGCCATCTATTGGATAGTAGCCGCCACCAAAAAATTAGTCAGTTGAGCTACCATCCGATAGATGGCGCTTCTTTGCAAAGTGCTGTCACAGACCTCACAAAATTTAACTAGTCAAAAAGATCCTTTAGGGGCGGTTGGTCGGGGTTCGGGACGGGTCTATGGTAACGAATCTTCAATGATCAAGGATCTTAAATTTCCGTGAGGGGGGTTAAAATCCCCCCATTTTTGGATGAAAAGATTATTTTGATTCGATTAGTTTATTATATTCTAATATTACGTATTAGATTTGACTTTGTTGAAAAACAAAGCGTCCTCCTCCTTGCTTGCTTTGGGGATTACTGAACGGATTTCAGCAGCTCAAGGTAGTCATTCAAAATGGTGGACCTTATGGTAGCTACCGATATGCAGCGCCATCTATTGGATAGTAGCCGCCACCAAAAAAATTCGTTCAGTTGGGCTACCATCCGATAGATGGCGCTTCTTTGTAAAGTGCTGTCACAGACCTCACAAAATTTAACTAGTCAAAAAGATCCTTTAGGGGCGGTCGGTCGGGGTTCGGGATGGGTCTATGGCAACGAATCTTCAATGACCAAGGATCTTAAATTTCCGTGAGGGGGGTTAAAATCCCCCCATTTTTTGATTGGATTAGTTTATTACATTCTAATATTACGTATTAGATTTGACTTTGTTGAAAAACAAAGCGTCCTCCTCCTTGCTTGCTTTGGGGATTACTGAACGGATTTCAGCAGCTCAAGGTAGTCATTCAAAACGGTGGACCTTATGGTAGCTACCGATATGCAGCGCCATCTATTGGATAGTAGCCGCCACCAAAAAAATTCGTTCAGTTGGGCTACCATCCGATAGATGGCGCTTCTTTGTAAAGTGCTGTCACAGACCTCACAAAATTTAACTAGTCAAAAAGATCCTTTAGGGGCGGTCGGTCGGGGTTCGGGATGGGTCTATGGCAACGAATCTTCAATGACCAAGGATCTTAAATTTCCGTGAGGGGGGTTAAAATCCCCCCATTTTTTGATTGGATTAGTTTATTACATTCTAATATTACGTATTAGATTTGGCTTTGTTGAAAAACAAAGCGTCCTCCTCCTTGCTTGCTTTGGGGATTACTGAACGGATTTCAGCAGCTCAAGGTAGTCATTCAAAACGGTGGACCTTATGGTAGCTACCGATATGCAGCGCCATCTATTGGATAGTAGCCGCCACCAAAAAAAATCGTTCAGTTGGGTTACCATCCGATAGATGGCGCTTCTTTGCAAAGTGCTGTCACAGACCTCACAAAATTTAACTAGTCAAAAAGATCCTTTAGGGGCGGTTGGTCGGGGTTCGGGACGGGTCTATGGTAACGAATCTTCAATGATCAAGGATCTTAAATTTCCGTGAGGGGGGTTAAAATCCCCCATTTTTGGATGAAAAGATTATTTTGATTCGATTAGTTTATTATATTCTAATATTACGTATTAGATTTGACTTTGTTGAAAAACAAAGCGTCCTCCTCCTTGCTTGCTTTGGGGATTACTGAACGGATTTCAGCAGCTCAAGGTAGTCATTCAAAATGGTGGACCTTATGGTAGCTACCGATATGCAGCGCCATCTATTGGATAGTAGCCGCCACCAAAAAAATTCGTTCAGTTGGGCTACCATCCGATAGATGGCGCTTCTTTGTAAAGTGCTGTCACAGACCTCACAAAATTTAACTAGTCAAAAAGATCCTTTAGGGGCGGTCGGTCTGGGTTCGGGATGGGTCTATGGCAACGAATCTTCAATGACCAAGGATCTTAAATTTCCGTGAGGGGGGTTAAAATCCCCCCATTTTTTGATTGGATTAGTTTATTACATTCTAATATTACGTATTAGATTTGACTTTGTTGAAAAACAAAGCGTCCTCCTCCTTGCTTGCTTTGGGGATTACTGAACGGATTTCAGCAGCTCAAGGTAGTCATTCAAAACGGTGGACCTTATGGTAGCTACCGATATGCAGCGCCATCTATTGGATAGTAGCCGCCACCAAAAAAATTCGTTCAGTTGGGCTACCATCCGATAGATGGCGCTTCTTTGTAAAGTGCTGTCACAGACCTCACAAAATTTAACTAGTCAAAAAGATCCTTTAGGGGCGGTCGGTCGGGGTTCGGGATGGGTCTATGGCAACGAATCTTCAATGACCAAGGATCTTAAATTTCCGTGAGGGGGGTTAAAATCCCCCCATTTTTTGATTGGATTAGTTTATTACATTCTAATATTACGTATTAGATTTGGCTTTGTTGAAAAACAAAGCGTCCTCCTCCTTGCTTGCTTTGGGGATTACTGAACGGATTTCAGCAGCTCAAGGTAGTCATTCAAAACGGTGGACCTTATGGTAGCTACCGATATGCAGCGCCATCTATTGGATAGTAGCCGCCACCAAAAAAAATCGTTCAGTTGGGTTACCATCCGATAGATGGCGCTTCTTTGCAAAGTGCTGTCACAGACCTCACAAAATTTAACTAGTCAAAAAGATCCTTTAGGGGCGGTTGGTCGGGGTTCGGGACGGGTCTATGGTAACGAATCTTCAATGATCAAGGATCTTAAATTTCCGTGAGGGGGGTTAAAATCCCCCCATTTTTTGATTGGATTAGTTTATTATATTCTAATATTACGTATTAGATTTGGCTTTGTTGAAAAACAAAGCGTCCTCCTCCTTGCTTGCTTTGGGGATTACTGAACGGATTTCAGCAGCTCAAGGTAGTCATTCAAAATGGTGGACCTTATGGTAGCTACCGATATGCAGCGCCATCTATTGGATAGTAGCCGCCACCAAAAAATTCGTTCAGTTGGGCTACCATCCGATAGATGGCGCTTCTTTGTAAAGTGCTATCACAGACCTCACAAAATTTAACTAGTCAAAAAGATCCTTTAGGGGCGGATGGTCGGGGTTTGGGAGGATTTCTATGGCAACGAATCTTCAATGATCAAGGATCTTAAATTTCCGTGAGGGGGTTAAAATCCCCCCATTTTTTGATTGGATTAGTTTATTATATTCTAATATTACGTATTAGATTTGGCTTTGTTGAAAAACAAAGCGTCCTCCTCCTTGCTTGCTTTGGGGATTACTGAACGGATTTCAGCAGCTCAAGGTAGTCATTCAAAATGGTGGACCTTATGGTAGCTACCGATATGCAGCGCCATCTATTGGATAGTAGCCGCCACCAAAAAATTCGTTCAGTTGGGCTACCATCCGATAGATGGCGCTTCTTTGTAAAGTGCTATCACAGACCTCACAAAATTTAACTAGTCAAAAAGATCCTTTAGGGGCGGTCGGTCGGGGTTCGGGATGGGTCTATGGCAACGAACCTTCAATGATCAAGGATCTTAAATTTCCGTGAGGGGGGTTAAAATCCCCCCATTTTTTGATTGGATTAGTTTATTATATTCTAATATTACGTATTAGAATTGGCTTTGTTGAAAAACAAAGCGTCCTCCTCCTTGCTTGCTTTGGGGATTACTGAACGGATTTCAGCAGCTCAAGGTAGTCATTCAAAACGGTGGACCTTGTGGTAGCTACCGATATGCAGCGCCATCTATTGGATAGTAGCCGCCACCAAAAAAATTCGTTCAGTTGAGCTACCATCCCATAGATGGCGCTAGCTCTACAAATAAATCCGAGATTGCTATACTTTTATATATAGAAATTTAGTGGGATATGGGAGATCTTATAACAGTATGTGTTATTAACATTTTGCGCTATCTTGACGAATAAGTGCTTTTTGTGTATTAAAATATCAACGTCGATAACACAAGCTGTTATAAGATTACTCATACCTGACCTACTTACTAATCTGGAAAGGTTCAGAAGAAAAACATACTGCAAATACCTAAATATGTATATTGATTATATAAATCTCATACGTTTTTCTACAAACAAATCAGTATTAACATTACTATGGTCCAGATGTTTTCAGTCCCCAGCCTTTGTTGGCACCTGCATAAATTAAAAATTAGGAAAAAATTAAACTGTGTTGATGTTACTACAATTCAGATTTATTTTTTTTATTAGAACAATAATATTATTGTCCATGGTTACCGACAGGAATTTTTCTCAGGGGTGCTGATCACCATCAAGACAACTTATTGTGAAATTGTACCTGCCCCCAAAATTTTTTGATGATCAGAAGTAGCAATTTTCTCATGCGGGACAAATTCTACAAAATTCTCAAAGTTGTACACAATAACATGCAAATTATAAAATCAAAGTGGATTCACAGAAGAGACCACAGCCCATCTGACACTGCCCTGTGGGCACCCATGTTATTGTTCAATAACATATGGCTTCGATTCCATTGAAATTAGACTGAGCTTCGCATATCAACCCTGCTGACAAAAAACAGTATAATTTGCGCCATATATAAACTTACAAATGTTATGGTCTGCAAATATCATTCAGAACTGTGCCTTCTGATTTGATCACAAGTAATCTCCGAACTTCTGAATAATTCTCAGGACCTCAGGGGTTGACACCGGCGGCTGAACTTTTCGTAATACTCCACTGTTCAAAAAGTTATGTGGAGATTCCAACAGGTATGATCTTCGAATATTACACTCCTCAAATGAGTAACCGCTGCATCTCTGATCTTCCTCAGCATCTGCAGATGCCTGGCTACTGACTGG